AATTTCTATTTTCTCCACATTTTTCAAATATGTGAATTATCTAGTGAGATAGCTATTTTTCAACCATTATATAATCCTAATTAACCATTAAAATTTGAACAATTGTAGAAATACCTTATGCCAAGGGTAACTGTGTTTGACCTACCACCACAGTGAGGGCCTCATTGCCAGCCAAGGGCCTGCTGATCCAGCTCCGAAACAACATCTTTTCATCTGCTTTCTGGAGATAATCCAATCAGAAACTGTCACTGTTTGGAAACAGTCTGGAGGCCAAATTTAGTGTTCAGGATATTTTTGAAGGAGGCCATTATGATCAACACCTTTGGTATGAAAGAAAAAGAAGCAGGAGTGAGAGGAGAGAGAAGTTAGTTTGTAAAGTGGTCTGAAAGCCTCTGTCAACTCCATGAGAAGAACAGAAACTAAAGTGGCCTTCAGAGTTGTCCCAGGTCAAGCCAAAGTAACTGGGCCTCCAAATCCACTCCTGAATTGGTCACCAGAAGTGAGCTTCCCCAGAAGGGCATGGATGTAGGCAAGGTAGCTCTGTGAAGCTGAGGCAATTCTTCAAGGTGATAATAGCCAAAGCCTGACAGCACTCCCCGCAGCTGGGGCAGCAGGTCCTTTTTTACAGATGATCTGGTTAGCAGATCCCTGCATCCACCACAATGACTGAAATTTTATCCCCACGTATACAAGTGTAATATCCACCAGTTTCTGTGTTACCACATTCTGTTTTCTTAAATTTTAAAATATTATGTTTAATAACATGGTTTTACTTTTATTTTAACAAAATTAGCAAACTAAACAAAATATGTTAAGTGAATTCAGCCTCTAAAGACAAATGGCCATTATTACAGTTATGGAAATATAGCTTTGAGAACAAAGTTAATATTCAAAGAGGTTTTGAGTTCTGACAGCAACTTTTACAGTTGTATCTTAGTTTCTTAAGTTGGTGAAACTCACTTGCTTAGATATAAAATGGGAGTAATTTTACTTAAAGTATAGGATTTTAAACACCGTATAAGAAACTTGCTTTCAACCTAGAGCTGAGCACATACTTTATTCTTTTCATACACACCCCGGTGACATACAAGAATATCAAATGTAATGACTACTAAATAATCATTTCTGTCAGGAATCCTAAGGATCTCTACTCATTTTGCTCTAATCACCACCTGGAACTTCTAGATATGTCACCTGAAAGGAGCTGCTGCCTTTCCACAGATGCCATCAGAAGAAGATATGGGTCAGGTTACTTACCTCAATTATTTAAATTTAATAAAGACCAGAACACAAGACAATACTAGCATATATGATACTCTTTACTGTGGGACTAAAACAGGGTGTTATGGTATGAATGTTCAAGTCCTTCAAAATTCATATGTTGAAACCCTGACGCTCAGTGTTACAGTAGGAGAGCGTGAGACCTTTGGGAGGTAATTAGGTCATGAGGGTGGAGCCCTTCTCAAAGAATGATATTAGTGCCCTTCTCAAAGAGAACTCATTGAGCCTCTTACCCTTTTTCTGTCCTGTGAAGATATAACAAGATAGCAGTCTGTAATCTGGAAGAGGGTCTTTACCAGAACTTAACCATACTGACACCCTGATTTCTGACATCTAGCCCTCAGAACTGTGAGAAATAAATTTTTGCTTTTTATAAGCCACCCAGTCTATGGTATTTTGTAATAGCAGCCTAAACTAAGTAAAACACATGGAGACAAACTTAAATACACATGTAAAATATCACATTTTCTAGATCAAAAGGAGATATCTTTATAAAGTCCAACTTTTTACCATGGGCTCAATTTGTGTAAATATTCTTAACCTTAATCTGGTTCCTCCACTCTGAATTCCTTCCTTCTCCACCAAAGTGACTCAAATGACTAATTTAACTCCTCTCATCTTCCAGTCTCCACCACCATTTAGAAACCCAACTCTATGCATAGAATTTGAACTAGCCCTATCTGCTTCCCCCTGCATTATGTCTTTCCAAACTTAAGTAATTTAGTCTAGAGCTACAACGCCCTAGATGACATTGATCTTGAAAAGCTATGGTGTTTGTACTTTTAAACCTCACTAAATTTCAAAAGTTTAGATGGAAGGATAAGATTTTGGTGCCAAAGTCATGTAATGTTGTATAAGGATTTCTTCACTTTCCCTAATCTGAATCTCAATCAAGCCTGTACATTTTCCCATTGCGAATACTCCCTCTATGAGTAATAGTTGGCCAAGATGATTGCTGTTCAAAATATGACCGTATTTTCAGAGACATGCCAAAATAGAAGGACAAAATATTTAAAATTTCCTCCTAATTTGTCAAAATCCTTTATCCAATAACAAAGTTAATATTGCTTATAATGATACAGAGCAGAGTTTGTAACTTTTCTTTACATTTATTCCAACTTGAATTTCTTTTGTGTGTGTGTGTGTGTGTGTGTGTGTGTGTGTGTGTTTTAGGTTAAGAAAATTTCCCAATACTGTCAAGCAGGTATTAAAATGTTTTAAATTTGAGAATTTTATTATTTTATTTATTTATTTTTGCCAAGGACCTAATTCTTCTAAGGAGAAGAGATACTATTTTGCAATTTACATTTTCTTGCTCTCTTGTGTAAAGAATCCTAAAATAGATAAAAAGGGCACGTTTTGAGGGGAGAAAGGGTATGACTTTTATAAGTACAGTAGTTAAAGTTCTAACAAATAAAGTATTGAAGAGAAAAAAGCTGGCTAAGCTGTAACAGCCAAATTATACCAACATACTCAGAGGGGTCTGTTGGTTGAAATATTACTATAAATTGTATAAACATTGTCTATGAGATTATTCCTTCCTGGGATATGCATTATACAGGTCATTCATACTTGGATGTCCTATAAAGCAACTTTTAGTAAGAAATATGATAGATATAATGTAGAATCTAAGTAAGGTTTGAATCTCCTACTATTCTGTTCTGCAATGGATGTGGACAGTTCAAATGGTACATTTTGATGTGCTAGAGCCAGACTTTGACCATAGACAATGGATAAATAAACACCTCCATGAACCAAATCATATGAACCAAAATCACATCTTCAGTCACGTTTCTGACTATAAACCACAGCCCTCCAATATTTATAAAATACATATATACTTATAAAAATAATCAGTGATTTTAACGATTATTTTTACTATTCTCTGTATATTATTGACTTAGAAAAAGCAGTTTGAATTCGATTTCTCACCATCTAAATCATTATTTAGCTAAAAATAGGAATTTTCTATAGGTGATTGAAAATTTTGTAGTTTGGAATAAACTTTATTAAACTACGTCTCAAGTAGTACAACTAGAAGAGAAAACTTTCTAGAAGAACCTGGCTAACCCACATTCTATTGTGTTTCTTTATTAACTCTCAAATTTATGTGAAATCACTCAGGAAATGGAGAGGAATGTCTGATATTCCTCAGGAAAAAAGTTGCAGTCAGTAAATTATCTGTACTACTCCTTTATTTATTTATTTTTTCTTACTCAAGAACCACTTCCAAAGGAGATGGAGAAATTGAAACAGCATCTTCCCTATTACTTCATCCACATGGTTGGAAAAATATAATTGTTAGAAAACAGAGCTTCTCTATTGCCTATCTAGTAAAAGCCTTTTTGATCCTGGAACAGATGAATAGTTTTGTTGTGTTTTTTAAAATTGTATGATTTTGGTCATTTCTCTTTTTTTAGGTGGAGGGAGAAAATTTATGCTAGCCCACATGTATGCTACTAAATACAGTTTAAAAATAGTGTTCAATATAGAAATAAAATTACTAAAATCCCACATTATTTTAATGAAAAATATTTTTTATTCTTTTATTTTTAACAAAGTAATAATATTTTCTTTTCTGGATGTCTTTCAAAACTAAAGGAATCCTTAGCTCTCTATACTGTTTTGGTCTTTAAACAGAAAGATAAAATGAATAATGTCTTTCTTCCATCTTGATCTTTGACTCTGTAAAAACAAAATTATTTGTGTTGGTTCATCCTTTTATGTATTAAACATACAAATTATTTGGAGGTAGGAGAGATTTCACTGACTGAATGTTTAAACAGATTGTTTCTTATGGAAAATAGTCATCGCTGAGGAAGAAGATATATTTAAAAAGATGCAATCATACTAAAAAAAAAAACTACTTGCTTAAATACAGTCATGCATTACTTAACGACAGGGATGCATACTAATAAATGCATCCTTAGGTAAGTTATTCAATGTATGAGCATCAATGAGTATAATTACAAAACCTATATGGTATAGCCTACCATCTAGCTTACTACATACCTAGGCTATATGGTAGCCTAGGCTATTGCTCCCTGGCTATAAGCCTGCATAGCATTTTATTGTGCTGAAGACTGTAGGCAACTGTAACACAATGTTAAGTATGTATGTGTCTAAACATATAATCTTATTGGACCATGGTCATATATGCAGTTAATCATTGACCAAAACTTTATTATGAGACACATGATTATGTGATTATTTTTTCGAATCTTATATAGCTTTTATTTCAGTGATCAAAAAAATGCAATAAATGGAGTCTACACTAATTAACATTAGGCATGCACCTCTACCTGAAACTGCTGTTAGCTTCTGATTGGCCTAAATCTTTATAACTTATTTAGGCACATCACTGAATTTTTTGTACCCTGATATACAGGGTAAGTTAACTTCTTCCTTGTGGCAGTCTAGTAATAAGAATTATGTTCACTGACTAGATTCCTTTATAAGTAAAGGCCTCTAGACTCTTAGGCTACCTATCCCACCTTGAGACTATACTTAATATGGATATTTAAGCAAATCATCATATAGGAAAGGGAGATCATCAAGAAAACTGAAGTGTACTGTATAAACACTCTTACAGATCTTTTTCTCCAGCACTGATAATCAAACACTAGATAAGGACACCAAATTATTCTTCTCCCACTTCTGCCCTTTCTGATAAACACAAGGATCTTCCCTGAAATCAGAAATGACTCCACACAAATGAGAGATTTTTACATATGTGGTCCCACTATCAAAATTATAGGAAGCAGTTAATGGGGCTTTGAGAAAAGCGTAGTCCCATGTACAGTAATATGCATCTAAATAGAGTTTTCCATTCACCTGTCAATTATTTTCACAAGATTAGCATTAAAAAAAAACAAGCAAACATATGACCCTCAAGCTTCACACACAAAAAAATTGGTCTTTGTTCATTCTCAGATGACAGGATGTCCCAAGAGTAACAAAAGATGGGAGCCAATCCTCTCATAGCCGTTTCTTCAATCATCCCATCAACAGCTCTTCATTTCTTGAACTACCTTCCTTTTCCAAAGAGGTAATGCTGAGATCAGTCAGAAAGGCTTTCTGAGAAAACTGGCTTGGATTTCTCGGTCTGTTCCAGTCGATTCAAGATGAACTGGCTTGTATCAATGAAGCACTCAACGCAGTTCACAAAACAGGCCTCAGCTCGACTGTCCAACTTTGGCCCAGGCTTGTCCATGCACTTCTCCCAACAAAGTTCAGTCATCTGGTGCACCAGCTGCTGGAAGCGCTGCTTTTGAGTTTCTACCTCGATGAAATGCTGCAACTGCGGGTCCACTGCATCCAAACCCGCCGCGGAGGAAGAAGAGGAGGAATCCACCCCAGGGCGACCAGGCTTGCAGACACGAACTCCGCACCAACTCGCCGACCTTCACGTGTCTCCGATTATATGATTTTTAAACAGAAAACAAAGAAAAGGAAAATAAAATCTTTTTAGTTACCAGGAAGCATCTTAGTATTTTAAATTATATTTGAAAATCATCATAGAGAGTTAGCAATGGTACCTTAATTTCAAAATATGGGGGATAGTATCAAGCTGTCTCCCTCTGGATATATGAAGGAGGTTATGCAGTCTTCAGGGAAGTTATGAATAAACTCGGAGAAAAAAATTGATAAATTCTGTAAAGCAGGAAGCAATATGCTTCACTCTAGGAAGTATCAGAAGCTATCGGTATCCAGTTTCTGGAATGAGCATTACCTTCTAAGAATTTAATATATGTTAACTCAGATATCAGTAGTTTACAAGGAACCATAAGTGAATGGACACAATTACTCTTTAAGTACAAAATAACAACTTCTTCCCAAATGTATCTAAGGATTCAATATAATCTCTGTCTTACTTTAGCAGGCATAGAGTAGCCAAAACAATCTTGAAAATGAAGAACAATGTTATTTGACTGACTTCTACATCCTAATCTCAAAATTTACTGTAAATCTATAGCCATCAAGATAGCTTGGTACACATGTCAAGACAGATATAGATCAATGAAACAAGATTGAGAATCCTGATATAAACCTTTACATTTATAGTCCATCGATTTTCAACAGAGATGCCAAGACAACTTATTGGGGAAAAAATAGTATGTTCATAAAATGGTATCAAAGCAACCGGAAAATCACTTGCAAAAGGGGGAATTTCAACCCCTAACTTATACTACACAGAAAAGTTAATTTGAAATGGATTATAGACCTACACATAAAACTATGAAAGTTTTAGAATAAAATAAGAGAAAATCTTTGTGACTTCCAGTTAGGAAAATATTTCTTAGTTGCAGTACCAAAAGCTTAATACGTAAAAGGAAAAGCTGATAAATTGGATTTCATCAAAATTAAAAATATTTGCACATCAAAGGACATAGATAAGAAAATGAAAATATAGGCCATAGAATGATAATAAATGCTGACAAATCATATTATAAAGGACTTGTCACCAGAATACATAAAATATTCTTCCTAATCAATAATCTGAAGGCAAATAACTCAATTAAGAATAGAAAAATATTTCAATAGTTATTTCATGAAAGATATATAAAGGGCTAATACATTAAAAGATGCTCAAGTCATAAGAATTAGGGAAATGCAAAGTTAAACCACAGTAAGGGCTGGGTGTGGTTGCTAATGCCTGTCATCTCAGCACTTTGGGAGGCTGAGGAAGGTGGATCACTTGAGCCCTACAGTTCAAGACCATCCTAAACAACATGGTGTGTCTCTACAAAGAAAAGAAAAGAAAAAAAAACCCTCAAAAATTAGCCAGGCGTGGTGGTGCACGCTTGTAGTCCCAGCTACTGCAGAGGATTACTTGAGCCAGGGAGATCAAGGCTGCAGTAAGCCGAAGTGCACTTCAGCCTGGGTGACAGAGCAAGACCTTGTCTCTAAAAAACCAAAAAAGAAACAAACCAAAACCACAGTAAGATTCTACTTTATATCTAGTAGAAAGGCTATAATAAGAAAGACAATTTCAGTGTTAGAGAGGATGTGGAGAAACTAGAACTCTTAAAGAATACTAGTAGTAATGTAAAATATTACAGATAATTTGGTACACAATGTGGGAATTTCTTAAGCATAAATTTAATGTACAACCTGTAACTCCACTCTGATGTTACAGAAGAAAAATGAAAACATATCCACACAAAGACTTCTACACAAATGTCTGTGGTAGCATTATGCATAATAGTTAAAGGTAGAAACATTTTAAATAGCCATCAGTTGATGAATGGATAAGCAAATGGATAAAAAATAAAATACAATTCTGAAGTGTAATACTGATACATGCTACTGCATGGAAAAATCTCAAAAACTTGTTAAGTAAAATATGTCAGATAAAAAAGACATGTATGATTCCATTTATGTAAAACTTTCAGAAAAGGCAAAGTTACAGACACAGGAAGTAGATTAATGATTTATTGGACTGGGGTTGGGAATAGGGAGTAATTACAAACACAGTAGTGATATTTTGGGGTATCCTTAATTTTCTTATACAAAGTTACATCACACACATCTTTACATCATTGTTTTGGATTGCCGAGCCTATAATTTTAGTCACCTTTGCTTCTTTCCTCTGTGTCCTATTTATGATGAGTAAACAACTTTGGTTCTACTTTCAGCATAGAATCTACTCAAGTTTAATTGGTGTGAGCCACCACTTTCTCTTGTGAATTTCTACAACACCACTTACTGGCCTTGCTAATTTGACTCTTGCACCTCTTGCTAGTTATCTCAATACAGCAGCCAGAGTAATGCTTTAAAAATACAAGACAGATGATCTTGGAATAAAAGCGAAACCCTTTCATGATCTGCCGCCACCCTGCCACTCTGACTAATCTCTCACTACTCTCTCTAAATGATTCTACTCCAGCTACTTGGCCTTCTTGTTGTGTCTTAAATATTATCAAGTCATTCTCTGTACCTGAGAATCTTACACTGCCAACTTCCTCTGCTGGAAGAAAGCCCTTTGCCCACATAAATATCTATATTGCAGCTGGGTATGGTGGCTCATGCCTGTAATCCCAGCACTTTGGGAGCCCGAGGTGGGCAGTTCACCTAAGGTCAGGAGTTGGAGACCTTCCTGACCAACATGGTGAAACCCCATCTCTACTAAAAATACAAAAATTAGCCTGGAGTGGTAGTACATGCCTGTAGTCCCAGCTACTGGGGAGGCTGAGGCAAGAGAATTGCTTGAACTTGGAAAGCGGAGGTTGTAGTGAGCTGAGATTGCATCACTGCACTCCAGTCTGGGTGACAGAGCAAGACTCCATCTCAAAAAACAAACAAACAAAAAATCTGTATCGCTAACATCTGTATCACTTTACTTCCCTCACCAGTCTCTTCAAATTTCCCCTTATCAGTGAGGTCTATATAGTTTTGGAATCAATCCTCAAGCCCTGTTCCCCTCATCCTGCTCTTCTTTTTCTGATTTCAATAGTAATTATCACTTTCTAACATGCTGTTTCAGAGAATTCATTGAAATTCAAAGAATCACAAAAATCAGTTTTCTTTTTTACTTTGTTGAGCAAATTATTTGTCCAGGCCCTATGCAACTAGGTGGGGTTATAGGGACAGTTCTCACCCAAGAAATATGAGCAGAATTGATGTGTGTGGTATGGACTCGCAGTGGCTATACCTTCTCCACCCATTCTCTCTTTACCACATTGCTTATATGACACCAAGCAAGTTTGAAGCTGTATTTTCAAAATAGGTGAACCACAACATGACAGGATAAAGCAGAACACCATCCTTCCCCCAAAGCTTTGTATTATATTTAATATGAACAAGAGAATAATATGTTTTCTTTATCAATACACTGACATTTAGGTGTAGTATATATAGCACACTAAATAGCACTTATTTGCACTAATACACTAAATATACTTACTTTCACTAATCAGTACATTATATGCTTATTTATTTAATTTTAATCATGTATTTTCTGGTGTCTTAGGGTATAGATCCCAGTGTTTGTCATAGAGCTGTTACTGGCCTGGGCGTGGTGGCTCACGCCTGTAATCCCAGCGTTTTAGGAGGCTGAGGTAGGTGGATCACCTGAGGTCAGGAGTTCGAGACCATCCTGGCCAACATGGCAAAACTTTGTCTCTACTAAAAATACAAAAAGTAGCTAGGCATGGTGGCATGCACCTGTAATCCCAACTACTCGGGAGGCTGAGGCAGAAGAATCACTTGAACCTGGGAGTCAGAGGTTGCAGTGAACCCACATTATGCCACTGTACTCCAGCCTGGGTGACAGAGTGAGACTGTGTCTCAAAAAA